TATTTTGTACACTGGTTTATCATCGCGAAATTTGAATTTTTTCTTTCATAAACCCTATTGAGGCCTTGCGCATCGGCCATGGCCTTTTCTTCCGCGCTAGCTCCGTCTATTGCTTCTGCTAGGGTACGGAAACGTTGTGAACGCACCAGTACCTGAATGTCTTCCCTTAATCCAATTTGGAAGTTTTGTAAGGCTAGCGTCTGCGTGTGCTCGTAAATAAGATGCTGTTTTTCGAGAGTGTGGTTTTTTCCTTCTTCCATGCTCTCGAATAAGTCTATGGCGAGGTCTTCTACTCTGCGCCCGTAATCCTTCGCGCTTTCTCCCGACCTTTGTTTTAGCGAGTTAAATTCGCGCTGTAGGTTGGTAACGCTTCGCTGGCACAAATATTTGGTTTCCATTTTGCCCTTGAATTGAACGAAATTGCGAATGCTGCGCGTGCGGAAATCTTTGCGTGCTTTTCCCTTCAGTTTTGTACAAATCAGGGCTTCCAAAAACGAATTTTCGTCTGACGGATGAATGTTTTTCACCGCGTAGGAAGCGGCTTCCAAGAATTCGTGAACGCGATCCCGCGATCGCTACCGTCGATTTCCGGAACTAGCTTTCGCGCCTCGATCAGGCTCATGAAACTATGAGTTCGTCCCGGTTGATTGCGGATGTCGTCTTGCGATCTCGAAATATTCAGCGCGGAGCTATTGTGATTCTGCACCGGATAATTACGAGTGTCGTCTAGAGGCCTTGATGTATCTAATGCGAAGCTATGAGGTATGTTTCGCGGCGTCGATTGCGGTGCCCTTCGCGTTGGTTCATCATGAGTTCATTCACTTGAGTTCTCATTTCACGCATTTCTCGCATCAGCTCTACCAGATTATTCGTTTTATTAACGGATCCGAATCCGCGAGTTGCCCGTGCGTTATCTTGCGCACCGGCTGCCCCGCTTAAATTAGTCATGCCGTCGCCAGTGCTTAAGCTGGCTAATTCGTCACTGAAGGTGACGTGGTGAGTTGTTCGAGCATTTTCCGTTTGCCCATTTAAATCATATGAGTGCGGTAGTTCCGTCTTCCGCCCCCGCGGAAGATGTTACCCGCTTGTGGAGATTTGGTAGGAGTG